TGAGGGGGGAGATCAGGCAAAATGGCAATGGCAGACAAAGGAAGCCCTTGAGAATCTGAGCACCATTGGAGATGCTAGTGGTGATTCAGAACTCTGGTCTGAAGAGCTACAAGAGTATCTGTAAAAACAGCTGCAATTGGCCAGGTGACTTTTTGCACTGGCAGTTTGTTTGCATTGCATTAATAGGACTGCCAGAAACCCCCTTATTCCTAAAGAAGAAAATCTGCCTGGAAAGGGATTAACTGGTTGCCTTCCCCTGTGTTGTTCTAGGCAGAGGCAAAGCCCTCTTTGTCCTAGCATGCATTTGCATGGCTGGATAGGCAATTCATTGGGGGGGGGGGGCTGACCAGTTACTGGATTGTTTGCTGGGTCTCTTCCCAATATGCCAGAAATCATTGTCAGAAACCATGGCACTTTTCCATAAATAGAAAGAGGGAATGTCAGTGGATTCAACTAATAATCATGTTACCACCAGGAGGATCAGACTTAAACTGGGAACTATTTTGATCCTTTCCCCAACAGAACAAAGGCCAAAGGCGGCAGCAGCATCTCCTTCACCTTCTGGGCACTGGTTCCTCTGCACTGAACATCTTCGGAGCTCTGTGGTAGCAGGACATCTGGAAACATCTCCAGAGGGCACTTGTAGGACCTTGCGGGAGCGCTCTTCTTGGCCCCGCCGGAAACCACACAGCTTCCGCTTCTTAGAACAAGGTCCCCATAAGCCCCACTCACTCATTTCACATAATGCTACCAAAAACAAGAGGGACAAACATGTTTTATTCAGTCTAGCTTTGTCATTTGCCACTTTTCATCCCCTTAACATATTTTGGAGCATCTTCCCGTGAATGGACTCCACTTGTTATCCTTCATTTAACAGAGATCAGGAAAAATATGGAGACTCCTAAAAGATTAATAGAATGGCCTCAATTTGAGGAAAAGCGTTGGATTTATATATTTATATAATACTGTTGTTTCTCCTCTCCTCCCTTCTTTGCAGTAACTCAAATGTACTTATTTATACCACAGTGAACACAGTCCCACTCTGAATAAAATAATAATTGTGTCTTGTCCAGAGCCACCTTTAATCTCAGCTACAAAGCAACGAAGTCCCAGACTTCTACAAGAGATCTCCTTCACAGCATTTATTTATTTGTTTGTTGATTGATCAAATTTGTACACTGCTGAATCTTCTAGATTCATAGCAGCTTTTAACATGCTAAACTACAATATAATTTTACATAATAAATAAGAGTAACACAGTAGAATATATGCAAGAATGAACCAATAACGTAATAGCTAATAATAAAGCATAAATAATAAGTAAAGATAGTGAACAGTCATTCCTTACAGGCCCTCCAGAAGAATTTGGTCTTTAAAAGCTTTCAGAGGGAGTGGCCTATTTCTAGAGGAGGACTTTTCCATAATGTCAGCACTTTGATAGAGAAGCAACACTTTCTGGCCTCAACCCATCTCATCTCACAGAAAGGGGATACCATGAATAGCTTCTCCTGGGAAGACTTTGTTGGCTATGTCTACTCTGGTTGGAATAGGCAGACCTGCACGTATCTAGCTACCAAGCTTTACAAGTCAAAATTGGCACTTTCAATTGCGCCTGGAAACCTATCTGAGGCCAACCCAGGGCCCATAAGATACATATATAAAATGACCACAGTGTCTAGCACCAGTCAACAAGAGGACTGCTGCATTTTGGACCACCAGCAGTTTCCATTCTCAAAGGCAGCCACACATAGAGTCTAATTGCATGCTGGGTCACTGTGGCCAGGTCGTCCCTTTCTAGAGAGGGGTGCAATTGGTGCACCAGCCAGCACTATGCAAAGGTCCTCTTGGACATGTCTCCACCTGCCTTTCCCACAATAGCTGAGTCCAGAAGAGAGCCCGGTTGTAGATCTGCTCATTCAGAGCCACCCTACTGAGAGGCAACATTGGAGGTGACAGAGAGCTGTGATGAACAAACAATAACTCCATTTTGCCAGGATGCAGCTTAAATATGTTTCATTTCACCCATACCCCAACTGCTTCCAGGCACAGAACAAGGCTTCAACAGCATTTCCACTTGGCCCAAAGTAGCAGTATAAAGCTGAGTATCCCTGAAATCCCAGAGGAGTAGCTATAGATATTAAACAGCAAGTAGAAAAGGACTGACTCTGGTGGCATGCCAGTAGGGTATGGCCACCAGGCTGACCTTTCATCCACTACCACTGATTGGAACTGCCCACTGAGGTAGGAATGGAACCACTGCAGAATAGCCCTCCAATTCCCAATCCTTGTACATAGTCCAGGAAGACACCATCGTCGATTTCCAAAGCCATTGAGAGGCCAAATGGAACCAAGGAGGACACATTTCCCCCATCAAGTTTTTGGCAAAGGTAATCCATTAGAACAGCCAATGCCATTTCCCTCTGGAACTGCCCACTTGGGAACAAGCAAAACCACCATAAAATACTGCCCCCCCCCCCCCCCCCCCCCCCCCACACC